ATCGCCTCGCAATTTCGACACTTCCAAAATTCGTCTGGATTTCGCACTTCCCTGTTTACGCCAATCTTCGCAATGGTGGAAGTCCTTCAATATGTGCAAACATTTTGGCAACGTTGAGGAAATACTTTGTTTCTCTTCCCTGCAGCTATTAATTTAAGTGTTAAGAATATAAAAATCGTGCTCGGTCCAAATGTGCAAAAAAAAGCATGCTAAAGTTCCTCGAGAGACATTTTCGAATAAAATTCGCCCGTTCTGCAATGCGATCAATGAATATTTTCGTAATTTCGCAGGAAGCACGCCATTCGATTTTGCGATTCGGAAGATTGATTTTGCAGCGAAAATGGCAAAATGTAGTGGGGGGAAATTAGTTTTCGGTTCCAAATTTCGCGGGGAGTCGCTTCATCACTTTTCCCTATTCTTTTCAGCTGCATTCTCTGTCGGAAGACACTCAATAGAAGAAAGATAAAATAAAACCAGGCGATTTTTTTTTTCATTTTCGCATTTTAAAATTCCAAGAGGCTTTTAAAATTCCAATAGACTTTTAAAATTCCAAGAGACTTTTAAATTTCCAAGAGAATTTTGAAATTCCAAGAGACTTCCGATGCAACCGCTGGGTTGTCTCAGTCCCTGACTCATTTAGCACCGATTATTCTGTTCAATTTACAGCATTTACATAGAAACACTCAAATGAACCAATTAGCTAGTCAATCTCCAAATTCCGGTTTTCACCACAGTCTCAACCGTAATTAGGAAAATAATGAGCTAGCCTGGGAAAATGACTGGCGAATTTCGCCAGAAATATTTATAAAAAAATGGTTTCCTTCCAAGGAGAGCGAAACCGTTAAGAGCGGTTTACCGCGGCCATAAACCTCGCGGTTATCGGCGATTCATTTCTGATCCTTTCGGCCCGCGCGATGGCGTTCCCGCAAAATGACCTATGACCGCGTGAGATAGCTCCTCGATCTGCTAAAAATCGATCAACTCGGTTCCTCGCAACTTCGGGGACGGCCGCATGGAGGCTCTGCCGTCGGTCTTCCTGTTTTTTTTTTAAAGGTTTTTATCGTGATTTCATTAAATATTTGCCAAGTGGGTAAGATTTGCTATCTCCCCTTCCAGAGTTTCCGTACCAGAGCAAATTAATTTAATGTTTCAGCACAAAACAACCTAATGCTTCATTAATTTATCTAAATAAATTTTTAAAATTTAATTATTGGCAAAAAAAGGGAAATCATAATGAATTGCCCGAGGGAATTCAACTGCGAAATGAAATTCCGTTTGAAATTCGCAGATTCTTTGGAAAAGCTGATACGAAACTCACTTTCCACTCCAGATCCGATTGAAAGTGGGTTTATCTCTTCTTTGTCCTTGCTAGCTCCGATTCTCATGACTGATGTTTTGGAATGATCGGTTTTAAATCCCATAAAATTAAATATCGCGAATGTTTCGGGCCGAAGTCGCTGTTATTGGAAGCAACTCCGTTGATATTTCGTGTCGATCATCGCGACCTGGATTTCTGTGAGGAATTCTAATTGAAGGGAATCGGAAGCTTTTTCCAAGTTTATTGCTCCCGCGAGGCCTTCTATCTAGTATTCTCCCTTCGTGAGGCCTTCAATCTCCTATTCTCCCTTCGTGAGGCCTTCGATTTCGTCTGAATCGCACTGATGCGTAGCACCCATGAAATTAGGAATTTTTTTATCGTTAAAGCTTCAAGGAACCAGCTGAAAGCGAATCAGCGAAACAGACCCATTCATAGGAGATGTTGAACAAAATGGGCCTTCGATTTGCACGGAGTTGCCAGCTCTTCGTGAGGCCAATGGCCAATAGCCAATGACCAATGGCCAACTGAGCCAAGTAAAGAGTGGCAAGCGTGAATGCAAAATTTATTCTCGGTTGGAAATTTGTCTTTGAAGGGCGAAATTACTTTCCAAGGTCATTCTCTGCTTCAAGGTCATTCTCTACTTCAAGGTCATGTCGAGGGGGAATTACGAGAAATAGAAGTGAAAGCGAAGATTTGGAGGGGGAGGGACCCCTGACCAAGTTCGAAAGGAGACTAAATATTGTGAGGGCAAAGAATAACAGGCGATCGCGAAAAAGAAAGGAAGAGGAAAGAGCCGAGAAAGATAAACATGACACGGCTGGAGGCCTTCGAAAGTCGGGTGCTCCCGGGCCATCCACCGCGAGCGGCCGTCGAAATAGAGGCCTGCGTGGGTCGGTTTTTCGGAACCCGACCCGATAGGCACGATTCGAGCTTAGATTGTCAAATTAGATTGTCGAGATTGTGAAACGAACCTCACTGACCTGATCTGACCTGAGAAAAAAAAACGTAGCCACGTTCTCGGCTCTCTCGTTGTCAGACTGTCAGTCGCAGTCCTCATTAATTTAGATTACTACGCAGAAAAAGAAAATTGCCTACCTTCTCTGGTGGCCTTCAATTGCCTTCAATAATTATTTTCGCAGACTGCATGCATGTGACTTCAGTCCAGGTGCAGATTGTCTGCAGTATCATTCGAGTAAGGAAAAAAAAGGAAACCTTATTAAAGATATACTGTTGCAACCTCCTTTGACTTGATCCATTCAGGCCCCGGGTGACTCCCAGGAGCATTGCATTTTCCCCGCATATTTTGTAGGGCTATTGTAGGTAGTCCTAGCAGAACTTGTGAGTCCCTGTGACCTTGTAGGATCTCCTGTTATTGGGGTCAGTCACGTTTCATTGTGAAAGGATAAATGAATAAAACATATTTTTAGATCATTTGTATTTTTCAAATTCGGGTCTTAAAATGTTTACTGTGACTTGAGGGCACTTGAGAACTTCTGCTCGCGGGTCGGGTCGGATCGGGAAAAGTGTGTCCGTGTAGGACTCTACTTCAGAGACTGGATTCCCCTCTCCCTTTTCTCGTCGAACCTTTGGAGCGGGATATATGTTCCACGCTCAATGATCCAGGTTTTTTTCTGAGTGCATGCTTTCTTCGACGCTGAACTTGACCGTGATTCCCGGCTCCCCGCCCTCAAGGCTCCTCAGGCGACCGAAAAAAGCCTCGATAGAGAGAGAGAAAGCGAGAAGAAACGGACGCAGGCGAGGTCTCCCTCCCAGCGCGACCGCGCATGGCTCGTCTCTCTCGCTTCAATCTCTTTGGATGTTCTCCATCCTCCGCTCCGACACTGGAGGATGACCGAGCGACGCGGAGCAGCTCGGGGCTTCGTAGCAGCTCTTCCGTGACTTCCTCCTCCGATCCTTTCGCCCGATCGCTGATTTTCTGCCGATTGGGCCATGTTTAAAAATATGTATTTAAAATATTTATATCTAAAAATATTTGAGAAAAAACTCAGTTCTATTCATATTCGACTGCTATTGGTGGCTTGTCGTACAGCTTCATAGAATACATTGGTGTTTCAGAATTAATTAATATATATAACTAAATATAAATATTTACTTGCCTTTTAGTTAAGATTTTACACAGCTCGGCTGAGTTGGCTCGAGAATTGTAGATCATGACAGCTTGACCCCAATTCCCCGAACGACCTTCACTTGACCTTGAAACGAGCTCGCTCCTCCATTATCGTTCCTTTGTGGATCGAAACCACGTCGGGCTTCTCCTTTCCTGTAAAACCGAAAGTACGAGCACCTGCGGAGAAAGGGAGAGTACGGGGAAACCCGTCCCGTGACAGGAGTCTCGTGACGGGGGGGTCCGGCGACGGCGGTCCGGTGAGAGGGGGGGGTCCGGGGAGAAAGGGGTGAGCGACGGAAACCGAAAGGGCAGGCGCACGGATTCGCATTTAAGCGATATTCCGGAGATTTCGGGCAGCATCCGGAATCCCAGAGTTCACGTGCTTTCATTATAATTATCGTTGTTAACGTGTCGCACAAGAAAGATTTGGCGACTCGAGCTCGTGTTTCTCTCTTTCGGTACAATCGAGGTTTCCAATTCACGGATGACGTCGCGAGTTCATGGACGACGTCGCGAGTTCGCGGACGACGTCGCAATATTTGTGCTTTAAATAAAATACATGAGTTCAATTAAATGAATTTCAGCAGCGACGATATCTGCGAAATAACTCTTGGTTTTCTTATCCAATTACCATCGCGGTAGAGGTAATTCAAAATCATGAAAGGTAATTCATGGCAAAGGTAATTCTATTCAGATCGGTTGAGAATCTGAGGGGAGCCACGCGGTCGCATCTTGGCAGTGTTGCCAGATCCTTGCTTCCTTCGTCAAACAGATTGCCAAAAGATTAAATATTCCCGGATAATATTTCTATAGATGGAAAATAGTGTTTTAATTTTAAAGCACTATTTTCGATATTTTGATCGGATTGTCTGCTTGAATATCGGTTGCCACTATTAGGTTAAGTTCGACTGCACCGAAATTGCCTGTGATTTTCAGGATCATATTTGCGTGGCAATTGCAATGCAATATGGATTCCTGCTAATAGCTTTGAGAGGATGAGGAAAATTTTGCATTTAATTTCGCAAAGTGAAAAATTGCGGAACAACATCGTTTTGAATTTCTCTTGACCCATTCTAGCACGCAGATTGAATCGATGGCGGTGGGAAGCGGACGTATTTGCAATGTTTTGACAAATTTTAGCAGAATTTTGCACTTTTCGATTTTTCACATTTTTGAAAAATCTTTTCCTCGTTTTGCATTTTGCAATATTTTTCCTGCAGCTAGATTCACTACGTAGCGCGTGCCTCGTCGACTTTTTCCCTCGCCTCCGCTTCTCAGATAGCGCTTTTCAGATAGCGCTTCTCAGATAGCGATCACCTGCATGCAAAATATTTTTACGACCCTCGGGAAGGGACCAAGATTTATGCGCGCTCCGCTCAAGGTAAGAGGCGGAACGTAAAAAAATTTCTGGGTGCAGTTCCAAGACATTCCCAGGTCATTCCCAGGACATTCACAGTACATTCCCAGGTCATTCCCAGGACATTCAAAGTACATCCTCTGTACGTGCCCGACCTACCCACGTACTGACTTCACGGACCAGACCTTTTCCCTTCTATGCGGTCACGCGAAAAAGTGTTTTCACAGGTGCAATGTGACACTCACAGGTGCAATGAGCAATTCGCTGGTGCGCTGTTCCCCATATCCGCCTCACTTTGGCCAGAACTTATTTTCGCGGTTACGGAATCCTATCGAACCCCTACTTCCAAAAATAAAACTTGCGCAATAAAAACTAAGTAAATAGAAATAACATTTAAAATATCAATAACAAATATATATATATAAATATAGCGATAGCACCACTGACCGAACTCCCACATAAATCCCTCGTTAAAAACCAATTGGCAGAGCAGCAGAGCAGCGTCAGTGTGAACCACCAAGAGACAGACGCATGATGAAGCTCTCGCTCCTCTCGATGGCGCTCGTGACCGCCCTGGTTGTCCGGTGCACGGTCGGTCAGCGCTTCCCCGTTCCTCCTGACATCCCTGATCGCCAGGAGCCGGATGGAGGACCAAAGGTTTGCATCTATTTATTTATTCATCTATTTACATTTTCTATTCATATATTTATATTTATATAAATAGTGTTTTTATTTATTAGTTCGCATATTCAATCGCTGAAGGAATAGCAATGCTTTCTAAATTTTTATCATTAAATATCATTAAAAATAAAATCTGAATGCTGGAATTATTATTTGAAACTCAAGAAACAGTAACTTTCAATAGCTTACTATTTATGTGAATATTTTAATTAAAATTGAATATTAACAAATTTAATTCTTCTTTATCATGGAAATCAGAGCCGATCCGCAAGTGTGACGTTCCACCCCGAATCTCTCGATGTTCCTCGACCTCGCCCATCGCATCTGTTTCTGTTTCTCACGGGTCGCCCCTTTTCTGTTTCTTACAGCTCGAACCGTTCGAAGATCACGGAGGACCCCGGCTGATTCCTGCCGAATTGCAGCCGCAGCCGTGATGCATTTTTCGAATCCTCCAGATAATTCTTTTTTTTTTAAGGAAAATGTCATTATTATTCAATATTTTAATATTCATGGGGATAAAAATGGACTGTTAAATGATATGCGTATTTAGTTGTCATTTACATATTATTTCATTCATATCTATTTTTATTAATAATTTCTCATTCCTGTCGCATCAGCCCAGCTGAAAAGAAAAAAAAAAAACAAAAACTGGGAAAAGAAAGAAAAGAATAATGAGGATGTTGTTCTCCTCCTCCTCGGGTGGATGGCACGGATGCGCTTCCCTTGCCTTGCGCTTGACCCACTTCTCCGCGTCATCCGACTGAGACAGCTCCTTACGAGTAGAGGCCTCGTCGGGTCGGGAATCCCCGGCGGGTCCCGGGTTCCGCGTTGCGGGGCTGCGGTCCCCGCTTCGACGACGAGATTCTGCAGTTGGCTGCGCACGAGGGACGCGTCGCAGAATCGTGCAAATTTCTCGGATTTTCCTAAAATGGTTTTCAGAATTTGAAGATCGCCAATGTAATTCTAAATAGACTTTCATTATGCATGACCTCATTTTTAGTTCTACGCAGTATACGGTGCATGGAACGCATAATTACCCCGAGGATGCATTTCGTCCCTTTAAAAAATCCGTTTCAGAATGAGAGTATCAACAGCACCATTTCGGGGGTTGCGTATTTTTTGCAGAGAAGGTTTCTGCTGCCAAAAAGGGTTAGTTTCTCCAGAAGAGAAGTCGTGCATATTCACGAATGAAAGGGATACAAAGGGACCATTGTGATTCATTCTGAGGTTAATTTCCTAATTGCTCTCATCCCCCTCCCATCGCACACTCAGCCGCTTTCATTTCCTGCAAAGTATAAAAAAATTTTAAGCGAGAGAGCGAAGTCAGTCAAGATGCATGCAGACCTTTCCCCCCGAGGGACCATCGAGGCCAGGGGAGGGCTCTACGCGCAAGAGGGAAAGTGCGATCGGGAGAAAGTGAAGGTAAGGGGCCCTTCCCCCCCGCCTCCCTTCCTCTCAGCCTCCCTTGATTCTGCGACAGTGCGAGGGGAGAAAGGGATCTCGCAGGTGCCTCGTGACTCTTCCCCCGGTCGCACGTGCCGTCGGAGCTCAATCGGAGTGGATGTGGCGGCGCGTGTGTGACGCTCCTTTTTGGTGACGATCGCGGTACTTCTCGATTCGCTGTACTTCTCGATTTGCTGTACTTCTTATTGGCAGTACTTCGCAAATGCAGTACTTCGCGATTGCGCTTAAAATTCGCTTTTGTCAGTTTGCAGTCGAGAAACTACTTAAACTTAGTTCTACCATTATTTTCGTAGGAAGAATTGGTGCTTCGAAATTATTCTGCCTAAATTCGGAATATCCGATGTGTGCCGATTCCGAGGAAATGCCAGGCCGAAGTTCTTGTTAGGTTAACATCAGTGTTAATTTGAGTGTTCTCCGTAACGCAGCTCCACTTATAGAAGAAATCTGCCTGTTATTTTATTCTCGCAGCATGTTTTCCAGTCAGTCAAGTGTCTTTAAAGTTTGCCCGATTCTAGAGAGTGTTTTATTTTTAATTATTGCATGCACCAATATGTTAAGTTTACCTGAAAATTTTCCCGTCGGTGCTGGGACGGATTTGAAGAGAACATTGGGAATAATGCAGGAGAAGCGATCGTGCCAGCATTTGCGACGCGATCGTGCCAGCATTTGCGACGCGATCGTGCCAGCATTTGCGACGCGATCGTGCCTGCATTTGCGACGCTACACGCTCTCACTTCTGCTAATTGGCTTCACTTTCGTTGAAGGAATCCAATTTTTCTTCCTCGACTTCTCACGTTTCCAGTCCCATTATCATGCTAATAGTTTGTAATTTGGTTGTAATTTGCGAGCGAGAAAGATTTTTTAAATGCTAGAGGGCACACCTGTAAACGAGTTTCGGCCATACCCCCACGGCATGAACGGTAAACAGATAAACCATATGGTGGATAAACGCAATAAAGGGTAAACAATATACGGGTGAAACAGTATAAGCATTATTCGTATTGAGGTTAAACTGCATAAACGGTAATAATATGAGGTTAAACGAAGTAAAGGGCAGACATAATGAAAGGTAAGGAGTAGAAATACTAGGAGGAACGGGCGAAACGACACCAGACCCAGCAATGATCGCACGCACGGCGCCGCTCCAACCGTGACGGCCGGGCGTGGTGCGTGCACCCGATCCGCGATCCGTTCACGTCCATCTCCGTCTGATCCGCGCCTGATCCCAGCCTAATCCACGCCTAATCCACGCCTTGCCCCCACCCCGAATGATCAGCAGGTTGGAAAAAAAAAATTGGGGGAAGAGAAATGTCGCACCAGCTGTTGCTCCTGGCGCTCCTCGCCCTCGCGGCAGTCGCCCTGGCCGACACCCAGAAGCTCTTCGCGCCGGCGGCGGAGGAGCCGACCAAGGAGGAGCTGCTGAAGAAGGTCGTGACCAAGAAGCCCATCGATCCCTATGCCGACGTGAAGAAGGCGGAGATCCTCTCCCGGCGCAAGGAGATGCAAAGCTCAATCCTGCGTTAGTTTTTTTAATTTTTAATTTACAGCATAAGAAATTCCATCAAACTTAAGATTCAGTTTTTTTTTTAAGTTCTTTCCAGTTTTTAGTTATTATTTCCAGTTATTTGGAAGCCAAAGCAACTAAGACTAGACGAATCTATCATCGCGTGAACAATCGGGTCTGTGTCTCTTCGCTACATTTTGCTACATTTCTCAAAGTTTTTTTTTTTCATCATTCGCTGCAGCTCCGATGGATCTGAACAGCATTCTGGACGCGACCGGGGAATGGGGTCGGCTGCTGTACAACATCATTCCCTACGCGTCGGGGCGACAGGTCGGACTGCTGCCCGCGGCCGGCCTGGTCGTCCTCACCGTCATGGTCATCGGCCTCGTGGTAGGTCATCCGTCACCTTTATCGGCCGGATGTCGGCTGGATATCGGCCGGATGTCGGCTGGATATCGGCCTGACCGCCCACGGCCGACAGACTACATCCATTAAAGGATCTGAGAATCGGCTTAGAAAAACTTATTCAGAGGAAGTTTACCGCTTTCTAAGTTGCGTTATTGGTAAATGAGGCATTTCCGAACTTTTCGATTAATTGAATTTTAAGGAGAATTTTCTGTCGAATTTTCTCCACCTTGACCTTTCAGGGATAAATTAGGCGAAACTAAATACCGATAATCAACTATGATCGTTCAGCGAGGTAAAAACTCCGCAGTCAAAAATAATTTTATTCCCGCGACACAATTTCAGATATCGAAAATTCAGCAAGCATCGAAACGCCGAAGCTGATAGCCAGCATCACGCCTCGTAACATTTTTTTTTTCCAGGACAAATTCACTCGAGGCCATTAACGAGCGAACATTTTTGAGCGATCGTCGAGGATCGCTCGAGAAGGATCGCGAGGCGATCGCGAAATTCGTCACGGAACTCTTCCCGCGAAACTCGCGCTCGCGCCACGAACAACGTCCATGCTAAATTTCACCTCGCAACTTTTCATAGTTTCAGAGGAATGAAAGCATCCATTCATGCATGGCTTCATCCGTAAATCGGAAAGGATGAGGCTATGCAAATCGATAAGGACACTAAGGTTCCACGGTTCTAATAAGGTTTCCCCCCGCTAAATCATCTCATTTTCTCATTACATTACAATACTGACAAATATAATATTGACAAAAACAATACTGACAAATACAATACTGACAAATATAATATTGACAAAAACAATACTGACAAATACAATACTGACAAATACAATACTGACAAATATAATATTGACAAAAACAATACTGACAAATACAATACTGGCAAATACAATGCCGACAAATACAATACTGACAAATGTAATATTGTCATTACAAATTACAATAATTTTGCTTCAGATTTTTGGTGTGGCCGCCGTTGGGGCAGCGCTAGGAGTCGGGAACGTGGGGACCATTCTCGGCCGTGAGGCTCAAGCCCTCGCCGGCCTCATGCCCGAGGACCTCACTTCATTGGCCTCCAACATTCATATTGCCCTCAAGTGAGTGACGCATATAGCCCAATCTGCCATCAATTGAGCGACGCATATAGCCCAATATGCCCTCGATTGAGAGAAACGCAGTCTACTTTTGTTCTCCAACTTTCACTTAAGAAATTGCCACTTCTCGTCGCACGGCAATAAGAAGTGGCAATATTGGTCTCTATGGGGCACCGCGTGCAATTGTGCTTGTTGTCGTTGTGACCGCAGCAGGAGACTTGCAGGGAAGGTGTTAATTAGTGGTTAATTAGGAGCAAATTGGCGATAATTTTTCGTCCCGTTTTCCATGAGAATGTCTCGGTCTAGATCCCGGGGAGGAAAAGAGACTCAAAAACGAAAAGGCGCAGGAAGTAAAAATAAAATGCAAAATACCGGTACATATTTTAAAATATGTCCAATTATTTCATAAATAAATAAAAACAAAACGAGAACTCAATCCAAGCTCTGACAGCCGTGGGACCGACAAAAATTAAATATTGCTGCTGAATTCAGTGTTGACCAAGACAGTTTTTCAATAACGCAAATAATTTTAAGTTGAAAATACTCTAATGAATTTAGAAAGTTAAGACTTGATATTTAAAATAATTAATAATATCAGCATCGACGAGTGGACGGGCTTCGTTCCCTCTCCAAATTGCGAAAGGATGCATGAATAATTCATTTTTACCGCGACAACGGCACACAATGGCACCATTAAGGCCATTCAGTGCCATCAACCCCAGGCCAATTTCATCAGAGCAATCATCCCCAGGCCAATTTTATCATAGCAATCAATCGCACTCCCAATGAAAGACCGGAGAGAATCGCCCCGAAAGTAGGCAAGAACCAGAAAGAAAAACGGGGAAAGTGACCAGGGCCGACCCCGATTGACGGTCTGTCAATCGGGCGTCAATCGGGGTCAATCAGTATCGACCGCATGCAAACGAACCCCATTGACCAATCATCGCCTCCCAGCCCCCAGGCGATCGAGGACACGTTCGACGCGATGGGCGTGAAAGGCGAAGCGTGCCGGAAGAGGGCTCTATGCGACATCCAGCGACTCGCCACCCGGCATCCCTGGTCCCGCAAACTCCTCGACCTCTTCAAGTCAGTCCCATTCCATCTCATTAGTCCAATATTTTATGATTGACAGGTCATATTTGACATCGACACGACTTGACTTATTTATTAGTTTTAAATTATTCATGAGATTACCAAGACATTTTAGTAATCAATGTATTATATCTTTTTACCGCTCAATTTTTTTTACAGCTTTGAAATAAGTCACATTTCCCTCTCTTAAAACATTTCATCAGATTTTGCGACCTTGCAGCGCAAAAATGAATAAATGTTAGAACATTTCCGAATGATCCTGAAAACGTAACGACTTGGATGACGTAATGACTTGGATGCTCATCCCTTATCGGAAATCCATCGCTTCATTTAAAATGTGAACGCGCGGAGGCTTTGCCTCCAAATCCGAGCATTTAAATTCCGGACGGAATTTAATTTCCGGCGGCTCCTTCAGGCTGAATGGGATTCCCGCACCGGCTCGATCTTGAAAGGAAGCCAATGGGCATTGAAACGCCCATTGGCTGTGATCACGCCTCGTAACTTTTTTTTCCAGGACAAATTCACTCGAGGCGATTAATGAGCGAACATTTTTGAGCGATCGTCGAGGATCGCTCGAGGTTGCTAGCCGACATCTGTGCGTTGGCATCGGAAAAATGGGCAACTTTTAAATAGATGTGGTAGTGTCGGTAAGAAACTGAATTTTGATGAGAAAAGGCTACAATTTTGTCAAGCCGAACACTGTCAAAATTTTGTCGGGAATTTCCGATTATTCTTCGTTAAAATTTCCGAGGAAGGACCGACGGATTTCGCCTCACGCTCGGAAAATATTTCCTGCATTTCTTCGGCAAGCCCACTCCGTCTTCTTTTTCGAAATTTTCCCCTTGCTCTTTCACAAAATATTCAGGAAAGACCGGTATTGCCACCTCGAGGAAACCACCCGATACCTTTAGTTTCCAGCCCGAACGATAGGTGACTCCCGAGATCCTCTGAAATACGACACCGTGATGCTTCGAAAACCGAATAGTTTTCATTCTCAAGAAGAAATCTATTTTTATGTGCGTCTCCCTGTCGGAAATAGGGGAGATGAAGAGCATGACGGCTTCTTCTTCCCGTTGGAAGAGGAACACCCCTGAAACTCAGGACGAATCATCGAAGTATGAAAGATGGAAGACTCGGACGTTCTCCCCTATTTGAGGGCGGGAGTGGATTGCGATGGGGGTGCGCCATCGATTAATGAGGAGAGGTTGCGTGATGATGACGGAGTCCCATTAATTGTGCAGTGCTTCCAATGCAAAGGAAGCCGGTTTTGAACGATGAAGGCAATTAAGGAAAACCCGAATGAGACAAAAGTTACTTTCGTGAACGGGAACCCAATTCCGACAATGGATTGAAATTTTCCGGAAAATGAGAGGATAGCTCCATTACTCGCTTGAGTCGGAATGATCGATTTCGAGGTTATTTCGGAGCAGCATGTTTACGTTAAAAATAGGAGACGTGGTTTCCGCTATGAACCCTAAATACGCTTCTCCACGCATTAGTCGGAATTATTCTTTACAGCGAAGACGAAACTGTTAAGAGACGCGATAGTATCGACAAGAAACGCAATATTGTTGGTAAGAAACGCCAGAAACAATAACATCCGACCCCACGTGTCGTTGACCACTGCAGCACGTACGTCCCGGGCCTGGAGCGCTACAGCGACGCCATCACCGCCGCCCTGGAAGACCGAGACTGCGCCCTCGAATTCGACTCCTGCCGCCTCGGGACCGTGGCGGGGATGCTCGGCCGGAGCGAAGACGGCGCCCCCGGCGGCGACGGTTCCCAGGAATACGACGAGGAGGAACCCGAGGAGACCACTGGCTATCTGGTTGACTACGAGGAGAATCAGAAGAGCGTCAATTCCCTCTAGAGGAGCGTCAATTCCCCCCCCTCCCCCCCCCGCGGAGCGTCAATTCCCCAAGAGGAACGTCAATTCCCTCTAGAGGAACGTCAATCCCTTCCTGAAGTGTGAAAATTACCTCTTGAGAATGCGAGTGTCTTGTTGGGACTGCCTTCGAATACTCATGACCGAAAGCCAGCCGTCTCCAATCGCTGGTTTTCCCTCGACTCGACGATCGAAAACGCCATTGCAAATTTCGAAATTGGCTTTGCAGATCGCTACAGTGCACGGATGCAACAGGATTTGCATCCAATCTGTCGATTAGATTAAATCGCATAGCAATATTAGAAAAAAAAATTATTATTCAATGCTCATCCAACGAGAAACAGGAAGATAAAATGAACCAAAATTTTGAACAAAAAAAACAAGCAAAAAAGTCGAAATTTCAAATTTAATCAAAAAACCTCCCGAGTTGCGAAGGCAGTCTCTCATTTCTGTGATTTTTTCCTCCGTCCCGTCATTCGGTATACGTAGCGTTACGAGAGCCAAACGAGCAGTATTGGCCACGGTTTTTGTTCCCGTGCTCAGAAATAAAAATAAATAGCGACGTTTCTAGCCTAGAGTATTTTTTTTTAATCATGATATAACCGCAAGAATCGTTTTTTGCCCATCCTTTAATAATTCTCTTTAATGCTATTAATTCTCTTTAATAATTCTCAGGTTGTGTAGGTGTCGACAGGTCGACACCTGCACAACCTGAGAAATACATTTTGCTGATATGACCTTCAGAGCCATCTAGTGGAATTTTTGCGGTTTACTCTTGCCTCGCTCACCGACCGGCCATTTGCAACGAGCGTGAGGAATGTGTCATGGAGCATTTAAAAGTCTGAGTAAGAAGCGCGTGGGATCTCAGAAGAAGAAACGTGGAAGAGAAGGCATTTGACGAGCCAGAAGCGCCTGGGACGAAGACGAAGCCAATCAAGGTCTTCAATCAAAGTCTTCAATCAGAGTCTTCAATAAAGGACTTCAAATTTGATGAGAAAGCAATCCCTATACATGATCACCAGTTTTGTCGCATTTCGTCGCATTTCAATTCAATGGTTCATGAGTGAAAGTGATAGCAGTCTCTATCTTATTCGAGATCAGCTCCATACTTTGTTCAATCGCTATTAGGCGTTCCCAACAATTTCATCGAGAAAATCAAGAGAAGTTTACTGCCAGAATTGGGAAATTTTATTACTTTATTTGATATCGTTGGTATCATGACTGGTACTCGGCTTTTAGTTTTGTAATCATAGTAATTTTATGCAAAATATGTTAGAGCCCTTATGCCCGCCGCATTTCAGAATCCGTAGGTACGAGGAGCGTAATGAGCTAATCGTGTCGAATCCGCGTCGACTTGAAGCGGCAAAAAGGGGAAGCATTCCGAGGCATGCTCCAAGAGCGCAATGCTCCAAGATGCGATTTCCCTTTAACATCTCGGCGCTTTTCCATCTTGATGGGCCTTTTAAACCTCAATCCCCTTATTTAGCTTCTTTTTTTCCCTTATGGGTTTTACCTTTTCAAACGGCGTCTTTCAATTCATCGCCAGTCGACGGGTACTTTCCTTCGTTTCTCTACACTGACAGCCAACAATATTTTCCACTCAGACGAACATGCATTTGAGACTCCAAGTAAAAAAATCCAAGCGCTCATAGATTCAGCGGTCGAGGTCAAGGACGTCCATTGGAAAGGGTTGGGCGCCCAAAACTGCGGCCCTTCGACCTTGAGGATCTTGAGTGTCGCGTAAAAGCCACAAGAAGGAATAGGAAGAAATAAATTTGCACAAAAAGGAATGGGCCCAACCGCGCCCCCGCCCCCCCCCCCCCCCCCCCCCCCCCCCCCCCCNNNNGGGCAAAAAGGCATGGGCCCCCCCCCCCCCCCCCCCAAGTTGAATTGCAGTGAAACACCGGTCTAGATTTTCAGTCGTCGTTCGCTTATTGGGCTCTAAAAGGGCGCAAGTCGTGTAATGGGCGCAAGTCGTGTAATGGGCGAAAGCAGTGTAACGGGTGCAACGGGGTTCTTGGAGAGAAAGTGGGAAGTGATATGGTCATCCCTGTGCTTCCTGACAGGACGCGAAGACTTCATTCGTCTCTCCATGCTTTTTACTTCGTATGGCACTGCTGACACGACTGTGGAGGATGTGCCCTTTTAAGGTGCAGCTGCTCCTTAGGGACTCCAGTCATTCCGTGCGTATATCAACTCGAATTTCCACTGCCTCAACCGAGCCTTTCAAGGTTTTCCTCCAAAATCGTATGGCTTAAGATGCTCCAAGATTCGTGGCCTAGGATGGAAAAGATCAACACTAGGTCAATCTTATGTCAGTTTCTCACCCGGGAATCCTCGCGATTCCCTTTTTGTTTAGCGGGCTCCAGCTGTCAGGTCGGCCTTGGCCACGATAATTAGGCGGGATAATTGGTCGGGATAATCTCCAATCACACTCCTGGACCCATCCAGGCCATAGCCCGCGGACTACCCTCGCAAAAAATTTTAACCAATTATCCCTGATGACAGTTTAATCGCAAGGCGATATAGCGCATTCACATGCCATTACATTGAACTCAGGGATGTAATTTTATGGAACTCGAGGATGCATTTTTATGGAACTCAAGGATGTGTAATTGTGATATGGATGTGATCGAAATGCCATTCTCGAAGAAGCAGCACCGTCCAATTATGCCAAATCATGTGGCCATCACATTTTTTTTCTCCCGCGATTTCTTTCGCAGGTATTTGGTGACAAATATGCATATAAAAATAAGAACTTCTCTGAAATACCTAAGAAGAACCATATTGGTCAAGTAAAATATGAGAAACTATTTTTAATAAGTAAGTTTGAAAAAATCCTGCTTAAAATACAGCTTTGATCGGTTCAAGAAATCTGATACCCGCAATTGGAAATCTGATACCCGTGGTTCATTAATAAATTCATTTCTTTGCAGCATTTAATTAGCCTAATTTGTTTCTCACAGAAGCAATTTTGTCTAATGTCATACAATTGCAAAATACGGTTCCCACCGTTGCAATTGCATTTACAGGGCAATATTTATTGCACTGGTACGTTACCACGTGACTCAAGTCCGGAATGCACTCTTACAAATAATAAAATAGTGACAAATTATCAATCTAGCATACGTACGATATCACTGGCTCCAATTAATTGCCATCTTATTTAAAGTAATTGCAAATAATTGCATTCTGAATGCATTCCTGGCTTGCGGTTTCGGGACATCCGAAGTCAAACTTAATAAAATTGTGCTCGGATTGATTTTTGGCAAGATCAGCTCATTGGATTTGTGGTCCTTTAGTCCTGTCATGTCTGCGTGTGAAGAGGTTCCAAATTTCCCAAATTTGCAGGATAATCCAGAATAAAAAAAAAAGAAATTAGTTTGTTTTGGGAATTCGGGAACTCCTCAAAGAAATACGAAGCAAACACGAAGGCTATGGGAGGAGCTATCACTTCATTGTCAATATTTACATGGATCGATGCGAGGATGCGTTCCCAAGAATCACAAGTTCGAGTCCCTCCTCAAGTTCGAGGCCATCCGCAAGTTCGAGGCCTAATACAAGTTTGAGCCCATTCACAACCGGCAATCGTTCACAAGCACTTCTTTTTTTCTGAATTGATTAGATGCAGGAAATGAGAAACTGTATCATCACCGGGCTTCGTTTCCTACAGTGGCGCCAAGCAGCAGCAGCACCCGACTGGAAGTGAATGAAATTCGCGAGTAGAAGGCGATCCAGCATCAGAGACTTCCCTGTCGCCGGACCTCCTGCCCGCTGGAGATGATGCTGATCTTGTCCTCTGTGAACTTGCCGTTGTGCTCGGCGATGAAGGTCGTTGCCCCCGGGAGGTCGAAGATCCTCGAGCGGCGGAGCTTCTTCGCCTGGGGATGGGGGAGGAGGCTGCCCCTGTAGAGGATGCCCGGCTGGATGCCAGGGGACACTTCACGTCCAGATGGGAGCACTTCACTCCCAGTCAAGAGCAATTCACGTCCAGTTGGGAGCACTTCGCTCCCAGCCGGGAGCACTTCACTCCCAGTTGGGAGCTCTTCGTGGCTAGTCCTTCCGTCCTGTTTTGCTTCTTCGTTCGTGCTGTTCGTGTGTTGGGGTTCTTCCGTTTTTGTCGAACTATGTGTTTTTGAAGAGCCACTGCCCTGTGCTTCTATGGGATCCTTCTCAGACCCTTCAAGGGGGGCCTTCTTAGATTCTTCGGCAGACGAGTTTGCTGTCGTCGATTCGAATGGGACCGCTTTGGGAGATGCCTCCGTCGTGGTGGAGTTTTCTGCTCCGTTTTCGTCCGTGTTGCTGGATCCCGCCCCTGAGACCTTCGAGCCGGCTGGGATGGGATGGATTTCGAGTTCTCCTTCTTCGACGTTCACGCCGAGTTCCTGGGAGCCCTCAGAGGTGACGCCGAGGGGAAAGTCCGGGATGTCGATGTCCGAGGGGTATTTCGGGTCTTCTTCGTGAGTGCCGGTGTCCGGTCCGGCGATCTCGCCGGCGAAGTCTTCCGTCTCCACGCCGGCGCCTAAGTCTTCGTGGCGGTTTTCCTCGAAGATCTCGACGTGTTCGAGGTCCTCCAGGTGCTCCGGGAGCTCCTTCGGTGTATCCGGGAGTATCTTGGGAGGTGGAGGCAGCTCGGCTGGATTGTCCGGCTCGGTGCCGATTTCCTCCGGGACGATCCCGCCATCGTCGTGGGGGTCGGCGGCGTCGACCTCGAGTTCGTTCGCTTCCACGTCGCTGCCGACTTCCGGCTCGTCCATGATGCCGGAGTCCTGGATCTCGGCCAGGTCGGCCTCTCGGTCGACCGGGAGCTCCGGGTCTTCCTCGTGGGTGCCGGACTCCGGACCGTCGATGTCGCCGTGGAAGTCGCTGGCTTCGACTCCGACGCCGAGACTTTCGTGGAGGTTTTCCTCGAAGAGTTCCACTTGTTCGAATTTCTCTATGAGGTCTGGCAGTTTGTTTTCAGGTTTGGGACGCGCGCGATAAACCACTTGGGTGCGATTTTCCGGCTTGGCCGGGATCTCGTCCGGCTTGGCGGGGATCTCGTCCGGCTTGGCCGGGATCTCGTCCGGTTTGGCCGGGATCTCGTCCGGCTTGGCGGCGATCTCGTCCGGGACGATCCCGGTGTCGGGCGGGACGCCGTCTTCATTTAGTTCCACGTCCCTGCCGACCTCGACGCCGGTGTCTCGAGGTTCTTCCGGGTCGGACTGCCCTTCGACCGGGAGCTCCGGATCTTCTTCGTGAGTGCCGACCGGCGGCCGGTCGATGAAGTCCGCCTCCACACCGGCGCCGAGATTTTCGCGGAGATTTTCCTCGAGAGTCTCGACGTGCTCGAGATTCTCCAGCTGTTCCGGCAATTCCTTCGGCGGCTTCGGGAGGATCTGAGGAGCGGCCGGCAGGTCGCTCTGATTGTCCGGCTTCAAACCGATCTCGTGCGGGACTATCCCGACATCCGGCGGTATGGCGACCTCCTTCAGCTCCACGTCGCCCCCGACCTCCGGCTCCTCCAAGATACCCGAGTCCCGAATCTCCTGCAAGTCGGCCTCAGCGTCCGGATTGGGCCGCTCCGGATCTTCCTCGTGGGTCCCGACCGGCGGCCCCTCCACGCCGGATCCCAGCACCTCGCCCTCCAATCCGGCACCCAGCTGGTGCGAGAAATCCAGGTTTTCGAGTTTCTTTGACGGCTCGGTCGTCGCGGTCTTCGCCGGAGGATTTTTGTCCCGAATGGAAGCGAAAGCTGCGCGGCGCCTCAGACCGTTGTGGGTGGAATCTTCGCTGTGGGTGGAATCCTCGCTGTGGGTGGATTTCCCAGGTTCGTCCGTCGCTGCCGGATCGTCCGGCGACTCCGGCTCTCGGACGGCATCGATCATAATGACCTGCCCCCCTTCAACCGCAACGGTCTCGGACCCTCTCCCGAGCAAGATCCCGTCGATGGTGATGTCACCTTGAAAAGACGATGAATAACAAAAAAACGATGAATAACGAATAACGCAAATAACGAAAATCAGGATTCTTCTTCAATTAATGAAGGTTTTCATTCCGAAATTTTCAGGGATTTTTGTGGAGGTTTTCGATCTTTTTTGCAAAGACGGAGCTGATTCCTTTCCACTCATCTCCAGTTTATTGACAAAACCGTTATAAATTTAAATAAATTATTGGACTTTTGGTAAGGATTTAGATATCCTGCTCCAATTGTTTGAGTAAAAAAGGAATCGAACTATTTGCAGCATGCAATAGCTGTGTCTCACAATCGCATTTCTTTCCGCTTCACCATCGCGTTATGCAAAAGAAAACATAAGCAAAACTTAAATTCATAATATTATCATTAAATATAAATAAATTAATAATATTATAATTTAAAATAAAAATTAATAGTATTATGGATTTAAAAAATTAATTACTAGCATTATAAACGGAAAAATAAAACAATAATAAAATAATCCGCCACACAGGCCAATAAAAAAGAGTTGAGGAACTCACGGTTGGGCCGGACGACGACGGCGGCCCCTCCCACGGTCGCGTACGAGCCGGTTGCCGAGACATCCACCTTGAGCGGGACGAGGAGGCGAGCCGCGCCGGCGGACTCGGGGAGGATGGAGTCGCTCGGGGCCAGCAGCGTCCACTCGGTCGGGCCTGTTAACGAATGAATGAGTATCTTCAGGGCTGTACATAATCCATTTGGATATTTAGGGTTATTTACACCGAATTAAGGATTTGGATATTCAGGGCTATTTACAACGAATTAAAGATTTGGATATTCAGGGCTATTTACAACGAATTAAAGATTTGGATATTTAGGGCTATTTACACCGAATTAAGGATTTGGATATTTAGGGCTATTTACAACGATTTAAAGATTTGGATATTTAGGGCTATTTACAACGAATTTAGGATTTGGATATTTAGGGCTATTTACAACGAATTTAGGATCGAGAATATTCAGTGTTATTTACAACGGATTCAGGAATTGGATCCGATGAGTGTTGTTTGAAATAGAAGACTGCGATTATATGTTGAGATTGCGATGAGGAACGGAAGAAAATTTTTTAACTTTTATCTCAACATTGAAATTATGCGAAACTGAAATATCCATTACCATATGAATATATATATATATATATATATATAATAATTTCCATGGTGGATGGTCGAAAGGGTCGGCAAAGGCCCCTTTCCCTTGCCCTTTCCTCTCCCGACCTCGAATTTCGACGCCACCATGACTCACGACTCGAAGCTTCTCAAACCGCATTTTTGCATGCACAAAGAAGCACATAAACCACCATATTTGGATGCTTGTACTTCCTAGTAAATTATTTTCGATGTGAATGACAGACGGCGAGACCGGTCATCCTTGGACGGGAGAGACCGGTCTTCCGGTCCGTTATATCAAGAAGGAAAAAAAAAACTTCCTAGGAAGAAAATAAATCTGATTTCAAGACATTTTTTTTCGCATGGTGAAAATTCCCCCACGACCCGAGTGAATTGAACGCGATGGAATTGATTCAATCACGTCAAGGATTTGCGTCACATCAACCGCGCGCATCAGTCGAGAAAGGTCCTTGCGGATCGAGGATGTCTTGGGCCTCGATCGCGGTCATTAAAGCATGAGTCGTTCAACCCTTCGTAATTCACCTATACCGACCTGATGCATTTGAGAACGACCTGATGCATTTGAGAACGACCTGGTACACGTAGAAAATTTAAGAAAATAAAATGCCATCTGGCACCACCTACCCTTCGAAGTGAACGAGGCCGAAGAGTCGTTGAGGAGTCGCTCCACCAGGATCCCGTGAGACCCGGACCGGGACGCGAGGGAGGCTGCGGCGATGGCCAGGAAGTCACCCGCGTTGGAGGACTGGGGCCTGTCGACGGGGGAAGGGGGCCTGTCGACGGGGGAAGGGGGCCTGTCGACGGGGAACAGGGGCCTGTCGATGTAGAACAGGTTCCCGAGGGTGAAGAGGAAGTCGTTCGTTTCGAGGACTATGGAGGCAGAGTCGTCTCCTTCGCCTGCAGTGAAAAATCAACTAATTAAAAATATTAAATAATGAAATTAGGTGATTTTTTTGTGTTTCTGGGTATCAATTTTTTGTTGGAAAGTTGCATCTGACGTCATTTGTGGTCGGTGGAATGTGGAAGTCGGGTTGCTGCCGTTTGGAAAAAGCATCATTCGCGAGAGTCAACTTCAGGAAAAATTTTCGCTCTTAAGTAAATTCGTTAACGTTTTTGCCATGCGGAGACTTTAAATAAAAGTAAATAACAAATTAAAAGAAAATTTAAAAAAATTATTTCTGCCATATTTAGAAATTTGTCGATGATCAGAGTGGGCCCGAATCCAATGATTTTATTTTCATCTTTAAAGAGCATTTTAATATAAAATTCGCAATGAAGAATATGCAGTTGGTTTTTGTCCAGCGGATGCCCTCGATCGAAAGCGGAAGGACTCACGGGAGATGCGAAGACCGGACGCCTCGCTCCGCGAGACGCGGAGGGGCTCGCCGAGGAGGTTCTCGAGGACGAGGCCGTCGCGGAGGTCGGAGTCGTAGAGGTAGCCGCGGACGAAGTGGGTCAGGAGGAAGCGGTGCCGGGAGGGGGGGTCGCTGAGGGAGGGGGGGTCGCCCAGCGCCGAGTCCAGGGGGATGAAGCCGGTGTAGGTCAGGTCGTCGCCGTTTCCTGTCGGGCGGGGAATCTTCGTTATGCGACGTTTGTGACGTTCTCGGAATGGCAGCTTGTCTGTTGCTCTTTGCCCTTTGCCCTTTGCCCTTTGCCCTTTGTCCTTTGCCCCAGCCTTGAACTTTAAGCCTTTGGATGAATGTATGATTGCACAGGGGCGTGGGGACACGAAGCGTCTTCCGCTTCCTCCCGTCACATCCACGCCCGACCAAGGATTTCTTCCTGCTCTCTGTGCCCCCCATTAATCCGCCCCCCTCCCAGAATGGGGCGATTACGCCTCACCGACAATTTCATCGGAATGCAAATGCTTACGCTGAAAATGGCAACAAGACCTCGCCGAACCGTAATATTTGGGAATAAATCCCAGCGCGGTAGCGTCCCCAATGAATCTGGCCCCTCAGATCAAATTAATCTGGTCTCTTGCCTTCGTGTAAGGTCGCTCGGAATGATATTCCAAGATTTCCCCGTATGCGCGGAAAGGGAAAGGTGACTGGCTTCATCTCAAAAGCACCCAGCCATTTGCAAATTAAATATCGAAATTTTGGACGAAAAAATGGAGCAAACCCCCTCCCCCTTGCCCCTAAACATCTTTAGCATCGGTAAGGAAGAATGTTAAAAGATGCGATGACGCGGCATGATTTGATTCTTCCCCATCGCTCCCAGAAGCCTCACCCGCAGCTCCACCCACACGCCTTTAATCATCCATTTGGGACCCCAGCCTGGGAGGTCACATGCCTAAGAGTTCACTTGCCCGGAAGGTCGCCTGCCCAGGAGATCACCCGTCTGGGAGGTCGCCTGCCCAGGAGATCACCCGTCTGGGAGGTCGCCTGCCCAGGAGGTCACCCGCCTGGGAGGTCGCCTGCCCAGTAGGTGAATACGCACAAGGCAATCAAAAAGGAACGCTCACGGTTACGGTGGGGAAAGGCCAAGGGAATGGCTTCGTCGTCGGTTGCGAATGCCTCCAGATTCGCCGCGAATATGGAGGTGTCCCGCCTCTGGGACAGATGCTGCAACAGATTGGACAGGAACTGCGAATGCGGCCACGGGTGTGCCAGGACGGGCGCCGTCTCCTGGAAAGCGGACGCATCGTGAAAGCGAGCCAGACGGAGAGGAATGCTTTCCTGTCTCAACTGCGGCGTGAGGAATAAATTATTTCCCGATAAAGTATTCCCCTATAAATTGTCTTTCTTCACTTAGAGGGTGCGATCCCACGCTAGTCTTACTCCTTTTTTGGGTGTCAGGATTTCGGCTCTTTGCATTACTTTTCGCTTCCATTGCAAATTAAGCCACCAGAATATGCAAATAACTATCAGTTTTGCGAATAAATTTTTTAATCCGGCTCACATGCTCAGATCGCTTAGTACTCTATGGGAAAGATCCCATCAATGGTGTCATTTATGCGCGAGACCCACAAATACCCTGTCTTCCAAGTACTTTCCAGTCTCAAGTCAGTACTTGACACGCCAGTACTTGTCAGTACCTGCGACACACCGCAGCGGCACAGCATTTGTCTGCGCCATTTCCAAGCCAGCATTCGTTGGGGCTACGATCAAAAAATCCTCACGAATCGCTGGAAGAAGGCAGAAAGAGGGAACGAACCTTATCTCTGTGGGCGCGGTTGAGTTCGGAGACGGTCACGTGATCCACGAAGAACAATGCTTCCACGAAGTATATGGTGCCGCCCGGCAATGGGGTCGCCCCTGGCAGCAACGTAGCACCTTCGACTCGGACCTTGCCGTCTGCAAAAAAGAAGAAAATAAATATAATAAGCAAAAAACGCTTTTCCAATCTGGAACGAACACGCCTCCATTTAGGAAATTTGCTTGTTACTGCGCATGCGCGAGACAGAGGGGAAGATCTCCCGAGGAAAGCAATCGAAGTAGAATTTGCAATTCTTCTCTTAATTTACTCTTAATTTACAAGAAAAATTTGGCGATGATGTGAACTGTGCCAAGATAAATTACGTCAGGGCAATTGCAAGGATAATTTTTTTTAAATTTGCATGAAAGTGCTTTTTTTTGGCAGAAAGAAGTACGAGGTCCTCAAAGGATCTCAACGAGTTCGACGTTTTTTCTTCTAAATACCATTCGCAACTCATGCAGAGCCCGAAACCTCATTCTTTAAATTTCTTCATGCGGTAGGATTTTCTTAACCTTCGCCGTGGCCCAACGGGAAGGGTCTGGAGCCGGCACGCGGCCCAGGTTCGATCCCGACCGACAGGAGGAGGGCCGCATTCAGGTTTTCATGGCGATGGGGGAGGTGTGGCAACGCCGTCAGGTTTATGCGATAAGGATCGCCTTTCCTTTACAACGTGTCCGACCGCTTGCGGTATTTGTCTTCGCGTCTTCCACTCAAAAAGAGAAAAGGACTGGCCCTTTCTCTTGGCCTTTTTTTCCTCCCTGAGGTGCCTCGCGTGTTTCCTCCACGCAAACTCTTCAAGAATATTTAAATTGCGAAAAGATTTCCCAATTCAAATTTGCATATTTGCAGTACCCAACACCCTCACCCACTTTCTCTCCGCATAATACCGCCTTCCGTGAGCTTCTGCAATGTCCAAAACCTTAATCCAATTCATCTACCACAATTCTTATTTATGGGCAATTAGGGGACAATTAGGGGCAGCCCTAAATTTAGCACGAAAAAAATGCCATGAATGCCATGAACCTATGAATGTTAGCCACGTCGATGACAAAATATTGTCACGCACCTGTCACGATTTCATCGATTTTTCCCCAATTCGCCTCCTGTAAAGGTTTTCTAGAACGCAACACCCGCTCATCAAATATCTCCTAGCACACCTGTTCATCAAATACTTCCTGAACCACCACCTGTTCATCAAATATTTCTAAGAACACCTGTTCATGAAAGAGTGCTACAACACCGACCTGCCCCTATCGCTACGTGCAGGTCCCTGCCATTCACCGTCTTCATCTCCATCCCATCCACCAGCTCGGGGAATTTCCCCTCCACCACGTGGCCCAGGAGGACGTCTTTGGTGAAGTTGAGCACCTTGAAGGGGTAGAAGCCCCAGTCGATCGGGTGCCACCTTTGGAAGGCGGCATTCGTTGGAACGAACAGGGTGTACTCCTTACCTGCAACATAATGAACAACATATAATTACTAATTAATCGCATTTATATATAGTAAGGACGTAATAGTTAGTTAAACACTAACAAAATGGACTTGGTCAATTCTTTAAAAGTATTTTTAATGCTGAACTTCTCCAGGAATAGGGAAAGCAGTGTCGAATCGAATCAAAAAAATTATGTTGATCATTATCCTGGTAACCCGCTCATCAATCGCTGGGGTTACCGGCAGGAATTGCGCATGGAAGCAGTTGACTGATTATAGTAGCGCTTACCGTGGGCGTAACGTTGCGGTTGACGTCTACTTAATTCATCATTGTCGTTTAAGAAAGCGCCCATCGATGGATATTTAAATATGTGATTTATAGACGCTTACCGCTCGTTTAGTGCTCTGCAAGTCGCGGTAGGAAATTTATTTTAATGCTTCCTGTTGCCTCATATGTGGTCAAAATATTCATTTAACCGAAGATGCCAGCTGTCGATGAGGGAAAGTTATGGAGAAGATCGAAGGGATTTTTCTCGGTATGATATCGGCGATTTATATATATGATATGAGAGATTCCCTGATGACCATGTCCAGGTCGGAGCCGTCCGAGCAGCATTCTTCGGGGAATTTCCCGACGGGGATAAAAAAAAAAAAAAACGGACAGCCCGTGGGAATCTCTAATTGGAATCCCGCGAGAATTGCCCTGGGGAAGGAGGTGCATGCCGCACGTGCAAATCGGCTCATCGCGATGGGAAAGGAGCGGCGGAGATGCCCGGCCGGCAATCCAGCTCTTGTGATGCTTCATCAGTTGATGTCAGGAATTGACAGCTCTGTTGCACGACATGGTGCCGAGGCTTCACAACTCAGAGTTTCTAAAATAAATTTAAAAGAGAAATGGCAAAGAATCTCCAAGATCGACTGCGGTGCGTGTCACAGCATCTAAATGCATTTTACATGTCAAAGAAGAAACGGAGAAAGTGGACGTCAACCAGGTCGAGCTCAACTGCGACGACCTCCCCCCCCCCACCCCCTCCCTCAACTGCGAAGATCTCAACTGCGGAAGACCTCCTTCCCTGTCTCCCCATTGTTCTGTCTCCCCTCGTCTCGGCCCCTTCGAGACCCCGAGACCTCGATGAGGACGTCGTTTATCCTCTCCGTCAGTCCGTGAATCATTTCAGGTGAAGGCCGAAGTCTTTAGAACCTTCTCCGGGAAACCTGTCGACGGAAGAATGCCCACATCCTTGTTGGTACCTTATGGCGCGAAACCTCAATTAACAGGGAATGACGCTCATTGCCAATTAGCTCGAAATGGCGCGCATCCCTTATCACAGAATGACGCATATCGCCTATTGGCCCGAAATGGCGCGCATCTCTTATGAGCTCGGAATGACGCATATTGCCTATTAGCCCGAAATGGCGCGCATCTCTCATTAGCTCGGAATGACGCATATTGCCTAATAGCCCGAAAAGGCGCGCATCTCTCATTAGCTCGGAATGACGCATATTCCCCTCTACAACGTCATGACGCATCCTTGCCCAACAGTGCCAAATCCGAACGCGACGAGGGGAATCCCCGCTCTCCTCCTCCTTGAAAGGACGCTTCGCTCTCGATGGCGCAATGGGCAGCCTCGAGCATAAATCTTCCCTGACGATGCAATCACTTTTTTTTCCGCCGAGTCGGGTTTTTTCATGTCCGACCGTCGAACGTGTCAAGGAGAAACTGAGAAAAAATATTTCTATACCTCCTTAGTCAAAGTTTGCCCACTCGTGACGCGAACGATGACGTCATCACACCCCGGAACGGAATAAGAAAAAAATGCGATAAGGGAGTGAGGAATTCCCAATTCATGTTCCAAATTCATACTGAAGCTAAAAGCTTCAGCAAGAAAAAAATATTAACTTTGGTTCAAGGGGAGTCAGGCTTTTTTTTCCTGTCAGGCAAAAAAAAAATTCTTGCTTGCCTTCATGTCAAATTTACACAGAAGATAATGACCGAGGAGTTCCCGAAGGTCGACGTCGTTTTCGGCTCATTTAACCGGGGTTGTTACCGCGGTTTTCGGCGCATGTCGAGGTCTTCGCGCCGAGGTCAACGTCATCCCGATCAAGGCTTTTCGGGCGAGAGGGAGAGGAAAAAATTAATTGCGGCTGTTAATCGATGGCCTCACGCGATTCCGTGAGGTCTGCGTGTTCCGATTTGCATACGTCACTGACCCGTTCCATCGTCCTTGTCGCAACCGCTCATCACGCAACGCCGGGTCACGGCCGAAACCGGGGGGGGGGGGGGGGGGGGGGGGGGGGAATTAGAAGTAGCAAGAAGAAAAGAGGGAGGNGGGGGGGGGGGGGGGGGGGGGGGGGGGGGGGGGGGGGGGTAATTAGAAGTATCAAGAAGAAAAGAGGGAGGAAAGAGGGATGGGATGAGTCTTCCGGTGGGATCCCATCCATGAGGATGGGATCCCGGTTGCTCTGTAATTAAGTTTCTCCGGGAAAGGCCTTCACGCGAAATTTCATTTTATCGACTTCATTCATCGTTCATGATTCCAGCCTTAAGTCGAGAATTTTTTCCTCGATGCGAAGGCGATCTTCCGGGTCTTGGAAGGCCGGAAACCAAATTGGAGGGTTTTTTTTTAAATTTATGCTGTCCTCTTGTGTGTCGCCCTTCGAATGGTTTTGCAACAATTTCCCTCTGCTTGGAGCTCGGCCAGGTTTGGATAATCTTCCTTGGATTATTTCACGCGAGTGCTCAGAGATAATCCGCGCGCTCAAACACGATGCGAATCGGCAGGGAATGCGCCGATTTCCCTCCGAAATTCGCCTCGGAACCACGTCATCGAACTGGCCAAATTTGCGGAAGATGAATTCGCAAATTTCTCGCCCGAAAATCGAACGATCCCGTCTTCCATAGACCGCACGCAACGTGAGGGCTCACGCTGAGGGATCGCGTCACGCCGATTCCAGAGAATCGAACGCGTGACTCACGCTCGCCTCCGACATGTAAAAGAGAATATTCATCGATCATGTCGAGAATATTCATCGATCTGCACAGCTTCAGGAAAAAGTGCCGAAAGACTTTCGGTAAGTTCCAGCGAAAATAAATACGAGTTTTTTTTTTGGAATTGGTTTGCAATTCCTCTTGCCAGCTGCTTCAGCAAGTAGTGACACATTTTTTTTGCCTGCAAAATTAATATTGACGACTTAGCAATTGCCAAGACACCTCAAGCAAATTTTGGTTTGCGATGGCTCACAGGCTGGCTGGATTTAACTACGAATTAAACCTAATAAACCTAAAACCTAATCTAAACCTAAAACCTAATCTAAACCTAAAACCTAATCTAAACCTAAAACCTAATCTAAACCTAAAACCTAATCTAAACCTAATATCCGTTTATTTTAGACAGCATTTAAAATTGAAATCAGCCTTGAAAAAAGCGTTTCAAGGCGCAGATTTCGATCCTTGACTTAAAATCCCCACTGGACAGGCATGTGCAAAAAGTCGCAGCTGGAAGGAGCACCTTTGTTTTTAATGTATTTGCTGATTTCTAAACGCCGGCGAAGTTTATTTGCAACGGCGAAGGGGCGAGGAGTACATTAATTTTTTAAAAAGTATTTTTAAAACATATTTTAACTTTTTTTTAAAAATCAAACTTAAATTTATTGGAGTGCATTTCGAGGAGAGGTAATGGTCAACATGTGCTCAGGAAGCTTAAGAGAACCAAATAATTTCCGCTTAATTCTCGTATTTGTTTATTTTAAATTTCATTCCCTTTCACGCTGAATGTGAGTAGTTGGAAGAGGATGCAAGGTCACTCACTCGGATCAAATTCGTCTCCGAGGCGAGTCCTGCGGAAAAAGCGCAGGAACTCCCCGCCCACGTTCTGCAGGAATTGCAGCGTCTCTTCCACAGCCTCGCCGAAGGGACGGGTTGCGGTTAAGGTTGCGGTTGAGGTTGCGGTTGAGGTTGAGGTTGAGGTTGAGGGCGCCTCCACCTTTTCCAGGTAGAGAAGCGAGGTGATGTTCTCGGGGAAGACGGCGTGCACGGCCTCCCCGGACGAGGGAATCGGGGAGGCATCGCACGCCGCGAGGAGCACAAACGCGGCGAGACACGCCACCACGCCCATAGCGAACACGGGAGGGAGTCGCGGCCGGGGAAAGGGGGGAGAAGGAACTGCGACGGATCCGGCACTCGATCGTCATCCACTCGTCGCTCGGACGTGATGGCCGGGAGGCATGAAGGCTGCCCCGTCCATCAAGGTCTGCCCGCCCGCCTCCTCCTCCCCATCCTCCGCGTGTGCACGCCCGGCGGGCGTGTGCACGCCCGGCGGGAACGCGGATGCGCGGTCCTCACCTCTGCCCCCTCCGAAACGGCCGGAAGGCGCGAAACGTGCCAATCCACCATCCGTTTATATTCCCATGACGCCAATACGTTTTGCTCAAATAAATATGCAAAATAAATTTTTTGCACGGAATTTGACGACTCGAACGTTCTAAAGCGCATCGCACTCGAAATTAAAACATGCAGAAAGCTCAGAAGAAACCGGTCACTGCGATGCGAAACCTGGACATCCCGTCCGGCCTCGTCCGCGCAACATACAGAGTGATTCAAAAGTACCGTGAATTTGCATTCGACCCTCCCTGCACGTGAAGGCATTCGCCTCCGTTTCTCTCATATATGGCGGTGGTGTGCCGTTTGCCCGTCTAGATCGTGCCATTTGCCCTTCTGAAACGTGCCAAGGTACTTCCTCGAACGTGTCTTGCGACCGAGGTGACTCACCGCGTGACTCGAGAAATCCTTCGAAATGGTTTTAATTATTTTCCTCACTGAATGAAATGAAGCCTGTCGGATCGGTGGTGAGGAAATCGCGGCTCCTTTGAATCTCGCTTCGAAATGGCGAACGAGGAATTACTTTTTATTCTACCGGACCGGTTCGAAGACGAGGGAAAATTCATTTTCGTTGAAATTCGGGAAATCCGGTAAGTGGAGCCGGAATATCTATTTAAATATTTCGGATTCGCGTTGTACCTCACGGTCCTCCGTCTCGGAATTTGTATAAATTTGTCAGATATAGGAAATTATGTCCGTAATTCAAGATGGGGATTGTTCAGAGTCGAGGGTTCGACACGGCAAACTCAGCAAGTAAACTCGGAAGCGACTGCTGAAAAGTTTTTACGATGAAACGATTCCGATCGGCCGATTAACTACGAATCACGCATGCAACGCACTTCGCAGGATAAAGAGCAGAGAACACTACAAAAGGGATAAAAACCCTAGATCCCTATTCCACGGGGTGAGGGGTCACGAAGGGGTCACAGGTTGCCCTGGTAGAGTCCCCGCTTCCTCCACTCACTGCTCAGCCCACTCACTGCTCAGGCCGCTGCCTTCCAGTACCCTTCTCCCTCACTCCTCCTTCTCCTCCCCAGTTGTCGGGCCTCGGCATGGAAATGTTTTGCATCCCGTAGGAATGAGGGATGCTCGTGCATCCCATCCTGCATAGGGTTCGTCAAGCAGATCCCGATCCCATGGGAAGATTCCAGGGTCCTGGGTCCTGTTGCAGGGGCGTAGCGTCGACTTGGGCCTGTTGCAGCAACGAGGCTGCTCCTCGCATCGCATCACTCGGCCAGACTGCACAGCAGAGGGACCCCTCCCGATACCTTTGATGTCCCAGAGTTCCAAAAGACTTGGAGAATGGTGATATTCGAAACGGCCCTTGTAGCACATTACATTGAATCAATATTGAATCCATGTTGTTTCAATTCCAAGTTCCATCATGGTCCTTTTTCCTTTCCGGGGTGTCAGTTTTTCCCTTTGGCTTCTGATTGCATCACCGGATCTCTTTCGAGCTCCCTGCAACGCAGTCCATGTCAAGGTCCTCCACCTCTTGCTTCCTGTTTATCCGTTTCATCCATATGTTGTTCCTCATGTCAGGATCCTCTTCTGGGCTTGTCGTGACTGAGTATATAGGTCATGAATCAGAGAACGAGGTATACAAGGAATTGACCTCTACGGGGGTTAGGGAAAATCAGCAAAAGAAGTTTAAAAAAATCACAGGGAATGAAAAAGAAAAGAAAATTGCCTGTCGGATTGAGGCAAGGCAAGTAAAAATTGAATGAAAAAAGTAATATAATAGATAAACCGTTGCAAACAATCACACAATTCACAATATACTGTGAGCTTCACATTGAGAGTCTTCTGATTAGATGATAAAAATAAAAATATCAAGAAAATATACTCATTCCAATTACATTCACGTATTGACATTATACATTTTCACTCATTAGCATGATTGTCATCATCATCAGCAACGTGCAACTCCATCTCTTCCCCTTAACATTTTCTTCATGGTGCAGGAGTTGGACGCCCTTCATGGGTTTCAGCCTCATTTGCTTGGAAGACGCTCAATGGAATTGTCGACAATTGAATGGTCTCCGTAGCGCACCACTGGCGGATGAGCCAAATGCCAGAGATGAAAACAACACTGGCGAAAATAAAGGATAGTGGGGCAGGGACAGTCTTTGGGTTCCATCATGTATGGCACGAAGATTTTGTAATCTGTTCTTCCTTTTCAATTTCCATAAGTTTTTCAATTCAATTTTAGAGAGTGGCATACCAATTAGTGGACGGATGATAGAATGTGGCGTTCAGCTTCTTGATACTCAAGTAATCATAGATAGCTTTCATCGACTTGGACAAGGATTTTGTCACTCAGTCAGTAAGGAGTTTTTCCGGTGCTGCATGTTTTGTCACGATTTCAGTGACAAACATTCTCGAGACAGTCTCTGCCTTCTGATCCGGTGAGGGAAAAGCCTCTACCTACTGGGTGAGGTAATCAGTGAAGACCTACAAATATTTGTTGCCTTCATGAGATCGGGGCAACGGACCTGCAATTTCCATTGCCACGAGTTCGAAAGGACTTTTGGTCACCTGGAAAAACCGTCAAGGAACTGGTAGTCGACCTGGAGGAGTCTTCTTTTCTTGGCAGGATCGACAATTTTTCACAATTCGGTGGACGTCCTGATTCATCTTGGGCCAGAAGAATTGAGTCTTAATTCTTCCCACTCTGTTTTGTGTACTCCCCAATTTCCGGCTAAAGGAGGTTCATGATTTAGACGAACGACTCGTTAGTTAGTCGCTTCCTCCACTCACTGCTCAGCCCTCCCAGCGCTGTACCCGCTGCCTTCCAGTACCCTTCTCCCTCACTCCTCCTTCTCCTCTCCAGTTGTCGGGTCACGGCTTGGGAATATTTTGCGTCCCGCAGGAATGAGGGATGCGCGTGCATCCTATCCGGCATAGGGTCCATCGAACAGATCCCGATCCCATCGGAAGATTCCAGGGTCCTGGGTCCTGTTGCAGGGGTGTAGCGTCGACTTGGGCCTGTTGCAGTAACGAGGCTGCTCCTCGCATCACAAATGTAAAAATTGTACTCTGGGATTCCATTCGAAATTCGATTGGGGAACATCGATGAATCATGGGCTTCGATGACTCGATTGATTATCAACCGAAATAGGAAGAAATTAGGGCAGTCCAGATGAATTAATCGATGAAAAGGAAATTTTTCCTTTTTTTTACCCGGGAGACCCACGCTCGGGCGAAATAAGCCGGCTATCTAATGACGAGAGACCGAGCCCATGCAGGGCCCGTTATTGACTCCTGCTCCCTTCGTGCGACGAGAGCCTCGAAGTGCGACGAAGGCCTGCAATGAACTCTTGAGTGCAGAAAGTCCGAGACTCGGTGGAATGGGGACGGTCACCTCGATGGTTCGAATCGCGTTCCTCCGGTGCCGCCGGTGTTTCACGGACAGGAATATTTTTATCCAGCTCGGTGTCTCCTTTCTGGTGAGCATGAGCCATTTTTTCGCGGAATTGAGCAAAATCCAAGCTCTTCGGGAGCTTAGGAGAGCGACCGGGACGAACAAGGTCATACTTCTTTTCGATGAGCTCCAGAACTCCCACGAACACTGGAAGGACTGGCACAACTTCAGCGACCTCATGTCCTGCCCCGATCCGGCCGGGAACGCGACCTACCACTGCGAAGTCCACTTCGGAGATCTTGTACGAGGCCGACCTCGTCATTTTCTCCTGGAAGAACTTCGACCGATCTCGGTACAGCCTGGTTCCGGGGAAACGGGACGGCCAGATCTGGGCCCTATTCACTCAAGAGTCACCGTGGTACAGGAGCCCATTGAACATGCCCATCGACTGGGTGATGACATACGAATCGGACGCGGACGTTCACTTTGAATACGGACGCGTGTTCGAGAGAAGAATCGACAGTTCATCGAATCGGGAAGCGATCCAAGTGTCGTCTGGGAGAAATTTCGGAGCGGCTCTCATCAGCAACTGCGGCGCGCCCAGCAGACGGGAGGATCTCATCAGAGACCTCCAGAAGGAGAATCTGGTCGTCCACGTGTATGGGAAATGCGGCGACCGGGCGCTTCCCCAGCCGTTCATCGACGGATATCAACGTCTGTCGGCCGAGTATAAATTCTTCATGTCGTTCGAGAACGCTATATGCCGGGATTACGTCACGGAAAAGTTTCTCAGTGCCCTACTCTTCCCGTGGATACCCGTAGTTCTCGGCGGTGCCAATTATTCTGCACTGGCTCCGCCAAAATCCCACATCAACGTGATGGACTTCTCCTCGGTGCGAGATCTCGCAGATTACCTGAAATACCTGGACGGGAACGAAACCGCCTATCAGGAATATTTTCGATGGAAATCCGATTTCTCCGTGAGCTTCGATACGCAAGATGCCTGCCGCGCGTGCAGACGCCTTCACGGAATCCGCAATTCGAGCGGCAGCGGCACCATCGATCTGACGGCGTTCTCCATGGAGCGACGTTGTTTCTTCCCCAAGTCAAGCGACGGGATTTTTTCCCAAAGGATTTCTCTTCGTTGAAGATTGCGACTTCCTCGGTTGCAATATTTTATGGGATGTTTGGGAATAAATATTTGTTTCAAGTTCCTTTTTCCAAGCTTGATGCTTCGCCTGAATATTCATCTTGACTAATTTTCTGCTTGATTCAGGAAATTACATTACATTACATTACATTACATTACATTACATTACATTACATTACATTACATTACATTACATTACATTGATCCTCCAAGCTAACAAATAAGCTTTCATCTTGCGAATGTAATTGGTCAAATTTCCGCCTCCGGGTGACAGTCAAGGCCGCAGCTGCGCTTCTTCCAATTTTTTGCATCTAAGACCGACAATTTTCCTTTAATGCACAAAGCGAGTTACCTCATAATCACCAAGGTCTA